CGAGTATATTAGGAGATATAATATATTTGTACGGGAAGAAGGACGAACCATTTTAACTATAATTTCATAAAAAAAAACTATGAAAAATATTATACCGTGTCATAGGGTTTCTAATAAAGATATCTAGTATAGGATAGGTACAAATTCATAAAGCGAAACATGATAATCTGCTGATTTCTCACAATTATGGTTACATTAAATAGGTATAATAATATAATTAAATTTTTGGTTTTTGCAAATACTTGCAAAAACGTAAAATTACTGGTCGCGTGTAAACAAAAAACAAACATAAACTTTAAAGGTTAGAATTGTTAGGAACTTGTGACGTAATATGAGTTAAGCTACGCCTACTGAGTTAGATTGATATATTAAATAAAGTCGGTTTACTTTATTTTCGTGCAGAACATTGATAAAACTTGCAATTATAGCACAAAAATTGAAACGTTTTTTGACGTTAACTGATGAATCAAACCCTAATGGCGATTCAAAAAGGGTTTTTTGGCGAGAAAACCGCTAACCCGGTTAACTATAGTTTGTTGAGGTTTGACGTTTTGGCGAGAAATGTAGTTAACCCGGTTTGGCAGAGTTTGCCTAACCATCAAACCGGACTTGTGGGTTGGTTTGGATATTAAGTTAATATTTCTATCTTTGTTTATTTATTTTCTGTTTCGTACCATCGTACCTAGTCACTACTTCGTTTTTTTAGAGGCTTGGATAGGTATAAGTTGTAAATAAAAAAATTTGATAATGGATCAACTTTGCAAAAAATACAAAGTAATATATTTAAAATTGATAATAAAAAAATAGTAATCGAGTATCCAAATAACTTTAATCGTAGATATGCATATTCTATATTGTACTGTATAGATCTTTATTAACTTCCTTTTTGCCGATACATTTACGTGGGAATAGATATTTGTGAAAAGGTAAACCCATTTTGATTTAATAAACATCTATACATTAACGTTATTTCATGGATGTGCATTTCAGATTAGGAATAACAATTATAGTATATAAGAAACAACTTGAGCTACGAGCACTATCATAGATTATAGGTTACGATTTCATTATTGATTAGATATCCAAACCAAAAGAATTTTTGCGAGTTCTGTCAAATGTTATCTCAAACTCTTAGCACAATCAAATTCGAGCTAACCGGGTTTGATGTGGTTTGGCTCGCCAAAAAACCCTTAAAATAATTTGCGCGCTATTTTTCAAGGCCAGAGTTGTCGGAATGTAATCCAACATGGTCGATATTATTGTTCATTAACTTTATGTGCATTTATTATAATTATTCTGTAGACATTTTGAAATCTAATTTGAGCACTTGCGTTGTATTTCAATGTTATTTGTTTTTAAATGCAAGATGCCTAATACGTACTTACACCAAAAACCATAAACCATCCAAACCCTAGATAAAAAAATGATCCAAACCAGCTGTATACCTAGTTTAGTTTTTTGCCTAACGAGGACGTGCTACTTAGCCTAAATCAGCTGTAGTAATACTCCTATATTTTAATATGTACTTGTATATGACATTCTATCTAGATCAAGAAATGTTTTGTTTTTAGTACTTATTTTTAATCCGTTCATTGTTTTTGTAAATATTTAATTATGGATTAAATAGAGAACACTTCAAATCTATCCATAACGCCAAATACCTAAATACTAAAGAGAATCACCAGCTTGTGCAGTAGGTAAACAAAATCGATCCTGTTCATCTTTGTCGAGATATGAATATACGATTCCTTTCTCAAAGTAAGTTCTAACTTAAATAAACCAAACCTTAATATAGCAGCGCTACCAGTAAATTTAATGTTATGTTTAGTGCTTGCATTAGTTTTCTTGTATAAATGGAGAAAGGCTTTTTATTTATAGCATTGGGTTATAGGACAAGAGGGTCTGTGTAATGGACTCATCCAATAACATTTAAATTACTACTTGTTTTTACATTTTCCATAAGCACTTAGCCCCCTAAATATGTGGTGTAAAAATCGAGTTTATAGATTTAATCTTAACCATGATAAATAATTTCTAATTTCTAAAATATATAGAACGGTTCAAATTGTTGACGAGTCGAGTGGTGTGACGTCACACCCCTCGACGTTTTTTTTTTGTTTGAACTGGACTGACTAGGACTAGCTACACATTATGTGAGTTCTAAAAATGCCGTCCGGAATGCCGCAAAGATGCAGCGAATATATGAATTGTCGATGCGATGGCGGGCTATCCGGCGTTGCTGGCGCTGATCATAAATACAGAGCGACATATCGGGCCTTGGCGGTTTTCCTGTCTGCGACCAGGAGCAGGAAGCGCGCTAACAAATGGCTTTGTGACATCATATTTACACCCTCGGCTACAAAAATAATATATGTCCGCTCGAATCATTGAGCACGCACCAGCGACGGCCCGCTGAGACTTAGAAATATATGATGCCGCGTATATACATACATATTATTCGGAAAAACTACCGAGATTTTATTTTACCGGGTGATGTATGGGTCAGAGGGCCGCGCGAAGAAATAAACCCACTTGATGAGCAAAAATTTATTTTCTACGCATATTTTCCAAAAGGAGCACATGTAAACACAATCACACAAATCAATTGTAAACAAACAACGCCATCTTATAAAGAAGTAACTTTAGGAAGATGCGAACGTTGCGAATTTTTAATCTGTATGTGAATAACAGCTATAATAATGGTGGAAAATGACATCTTTCGGTATATACCAATTATTAAGGTAAAAGGGGTATGCTCTTTTTTGCAATTTTCAATTTAGACTGTAACACACATGAAATGAGTGACGCTTGAATGGAAGGTAATCTGGTACAGTTGTGCTCGTTCCCACAACACGAATTCATTTAAACGTGGGTTAAAACGATTAAAAAATTGTAAAAATCTGCTTTGCCCATCAACCGTGTCAATTTCAGGGGTTTTGTTTGCGGTTCCCTTTGTGTAAATTCATTTACACTATTTTAGGACGGTCCATTGAACCAAAAGCTAATGCGAGGATTAAAAACATACTCAAAAGCGTCCTACGCGCTGATCCACACACAAAGGGAGTATCTTGGGAGCAAAAATAAAGCAGTCGTAGGTATTTCAAACCTGGATTTGGTTTTGTCTGTACACAATTATTTGTCTTTGCCACAATCTAATTTATTACATTAATTAGCGTTTCAAATTATGTATGATGGTATATATTGCTATTTCTTTTCGTCTATTTAGAATCCGGCCAACCGTCAGTTCTAGATCACCCTGTATATTCTGACAAACTAGCTAGAATTAATATATCAACCTATTATTTGTCTAAAACAATAACAATGTTTGCACATTCACTTATGTACTTTTTGACAAGTGCCTATACGATGTCACAAACTGCACAGTCGTTATTTTTTATTTATCTTTCAGCATCTTAATGAATGTGAAACATTTAAAAAATTTTATATAATAACATTGTTTATTAATTTTATCATAAGAACAAAAAATACACTTTTATCTATCTACCGAGCTGGCAGGCATGAATTACAATATTAAAGAACATTTACGTACGACAGAATAGGGTTATTTTTTCGGTTGTTAGACAAAGAAACAAATATTTGACGCGGCCGGAATTCTGTGTAATATTACATGTTACATTGTATGAGCGTAATATTTATTTTTTCAATACCGATTTACGTTTTACATGTATTTTTTTTCTTATATTTAAATATCTTCCCTGTATTACCGCATGAACAATTAGTAATATAGTTTCAAAAGTTATTTTACCGATTTTTAAGGTAAATGAATTTAACATTCGAAGTAGGCAACACAAAATACAAGATAATTAGTATATATGAAATGCTGGTTGTATACTGTATAATCTAAGCTAGTGCTGGGCAGAATCGAGAAAATTCAGAATCGAATAGCTTGCATTCGAATACCTTTCAGAATCGAATAATCATTCGAATACAGAGAATTCGAATTCAAGTTAAGTCTCGCATCATTCATAGTTTATTAGAATATTTTTTATTTTACTGGTAGTGATTTTTGTTTATTACCTAAACACATTTTTATTTCAAAGAGAATAAAAATTAGCTTCCATGTAACCTAAGCTACTATGATTGGCTTTATTCTATTCATTAATTTATTTAATTCGAGACTTCTAGGTGAACACTCCTAATAATACGTAGGTATAGGTAATTCAAATTTCTCTGATCATTCATTATTAAACATTCAATTCGAATACAGTGCGAGTGCTCGAATTTATTTTGCATTAGCCAGTTGCTTCAGCAGGCTATCGAATTCGAATTCGTCCAGTATCGTTTGCATTCGGTGAGTATGAACGCGCGCCGCGCTGGCGAGGTATTTGAAATCAGACATCGCACCGCAGCTCGCAATTAGCAACACAAATGACTATTCGAATACTTCCAGCAGAATCGAATGCATTCGAGACCTTGCCAGAATCGAATAGTCCCAACACTAATCTAAGCAACCAACGAGCAACGTTTATTTTAATTTGTGCAGTGTTTGGACACAGAGTACGTGATTTAGTTTGACGTGCTAATAATAAATCGATAAAATCCGCATTTTTAACAAATATTAACATACAGGAAGCAATGCTGACGCTGCAGTAAAACGATAGACAGCGTTTATGGTGAGATATAATTTTCGTCAAAACATAACCTCCATAACTGACCTAAATTTATAACCTTCACATTGACTTATTTTTAATTTATAGTTATGACTACAATAGGAAATATAGGGATAGGCCTTTTTTTGTTGATAATAGTCTGGATCGTTGCCCTAATCATCTTTGTTGTTGGTGTAAAACTACAAAGTAACATATCATGGGTTGCCCTAGGAACTGCAACTAGTCTAACATTATTGTTAATAATTATACCTACGGATAAGAAATATCACCAGGTGGAAGAACCCGAAATAATTGTAAGTAACTGAGTTTTCCCTTCGAGAGTTTAACTAATAGAATTTGTTGTAGGAAAAGGATTATATCATAATTTACAAAAACATATTTCTCGCATTCCTGTCATTGAGTGCCATCGTGGGATTCGTTTCATTCTTCATTTTACATTGTATCGAGCCAGTCCGCGCCAAGCCGATTAAAACGTTTTGTTATCAAGAATAAAATGAACAAAATAATTCGCGTATTACTGAGTCAGACGAGATCGTTAGCTACGAGCACCAGATTGAACAAAATCATCACGATAAAGGGCAACGATGAGTTTCTATCCAAAGTAATGAATTCTGACAATCCCGTAATCGTGAATTTCCACGCCGAATGGTGTGAACCTTGCCATATCCTAACGCCCAAGATGAAAGAACTGATCGAACCAAAGGAAAACATAGATTTAGCGATTGTAGATGTTGAAAATCACGCCGAGTTGGTACACACCTTTGAGGTGAAAGCGGTGCCGGCCGTTATAGCCGTCAGGAACGGCTTAGTTGTAGATAAGTTTATCGGGTTAGTGGATGCCGACATGATCGAGCAGTTGATGAACAAGTTAGATAAGAAATTATAAGTCGGTTTCCTTAGAAATTCTTCGTAATCGACAATAGGGAAAATTGTACTTTTGGTGGTTATAAATTACGTTTAGTTAGAAATCTATTATTTAACTATTTTCTGATATTTCTAAACAGAGGAAGGGATTTTACGGAAACTGAAAAGTATCAGTTTTTTTAGACTGTTGTATCCCTTATTGCCATTATTCTGTGGTGCTATTAAATATCTTAAAATAGAAATGCAAATTATCTTTTATCGTCCTGCAAATCAGTTCAGTTTTTCAATAAAGTAATTAAAAAAAGTACAGTTGGACAGAAAATAGTAAAATCTGTCGAAGCAGGATACTTGGATTTGAAAATTTAGCATATTTGATACACTTTTTATTAGTTTTATAAAATTGGTTCTGGTTGAGTACTTGATATGGTTTAAAAAGCCAGTTTATGTAAAATTATGTGAAAATTAGTTTGTATATATTGAAAACAATTTGAATTTTAAATAAATGATTTAAAACTTATTGCTTTTGATTCTATCAAATGATTAATTTGCAATTTAAGCACTTTAAAATTTGAGACACGTTGACGTTGACGCAATCTGTCCTAAGGCCAGCGTTCCATGCATCTGAATTCCGATGTACAATATCCGAAAATATTTTAATTCATACGAATGATAATATAATTAGGACTAATCGTTTTTAAATGACAACTATAGATATACATCAGAAAATATTAGTATTATATTTTCTACATTCGTCATTATATAACATTTAAATCTACCAAACAATTATAGCACAGCTCATTAAGCTGTGATTATAGTTTGTTAAAAACTTAAAAAGTGATGTTAAAAAACACGATTTCGGACAAAAGTTAAAATTATTTCTACTTTTTCCGACGTTCTGTGAATTTTAAAATTTTCGGATGAAAATGAGCGGTCAATATTTGAACGTATATTAACCAATAGGAACACTTTCGGACCTTCGTATCGTCGGAATTCGGATGCATGAGACATCGGCCTTACGTCGGATCAGGACACGCAGATTTCTTTGATTTGCTTTGAATAATACTGCTAGCGCCATCTATGGGATTTTAATTGAAATTTTTTGGCAAACATACAGAAAGCCACTACTAGATGGCCCTTGTCATGGAATGTATAAAAATTGGAAAATTGAACTACTTAAAGAATTATTTATGCTTAATAAATAATTTAGCAAACTTGATACAACAATTATGAACATGTTTAATACTTTTATAAAACTGTAAAATACTTAATACAATTTAAAATATCGTTTAATGAATGTAAAATATTTGTGAAAGCCGATATATTGAAAACAATTAAGACATAAAATGTTTCTACTGTACTAATTATTGAATTTTAAATGTTATTTAAGTGGTGAAGAGATTTCCTTACATTTGGATTTCTAAATGTTACGTCTATGGCCATCTATGAATTTTAAATTGATATTTCATCGTAGACCTACGATAAGCTAATACTAGATGGCGCTCGACATGAAAATCTAATAAATCATGGAAATAAACACTAATGATGGCAAGTTTTACAAAAAATTATTTCTGCTTAAATATTTCATTCACCGTACGGTTTTGTTTTATACCATGTCTTTTTTTTTATTAAGTATGTGGAGAATTTAGTAGTAAAGTATTTCCCTTTTTTTTGTTACTGCTGCCGCCATCTATGAGTTTCCAGTAAAAATTTCTTCAGCGGTATAGGAGAATACAATACCAGATGGCGCGACTCATGAATTGTAATTATATTTATAACTTAAACTTATATACTAGTTTCAAATGTTCAAATTCATAAAATTGACTAGATATAAAATGTTTATACGTCGATTGAACAATGTTTCAGTCAACGGTTTCTATTTATTTTGTTTGAATCTCAAATCTTTCCTCGAGTATGTACATACATACTACTGGAGGTAGCATATCACCATGGTTTTACGGACTGTGGCATATCATTGCGAAAAGCATGGAGACTATACAAGGAGCCCGAACTCCATGTAAACAAAAATCTTACAAAAATAAGAGGGCGCTAGTGTTCCATATGTCCCATATGTAGAGAGGGGAGATAAAAAGCGGCAGTTTGAATTATAAATCAATCATGTCATTTTTGTAATGTGTTAAAAATTTTAAAATAAATAATGTAAGCTACTTTGAATTATATAAATCATGAAAATATGTCATTCCGGACTGTAATTAAACTAAATAGATAATAAAAAATATTAGCTTTATGAGAAGAATTTGGTGTTCGTAGAAAGAAACTAGTTTTCAAGGAATTTATGACGTGATCTTGTTAATATTAACCTATAAGTAAGGTTTGTGTTTTTGATAATTACTTTGTTAAAGATTTTAGTTTAATGTTAGTAAAAGTCACATTTTATACAGGAAGTTGCCTTTAAAAAAATAGTAATTCTTGTATTATTAATATGGAATTTTTACTTGTGGTAATAAAAAATAGAATATAAAAAAACTTGGTGTTTTAAATAAACTTTTTAAAATATTACAGATGTCCGATTTTGAGTCCAGTGATTCAGATGACTTATTAGACGCATTGTCCAGCTTGAGAGTGGTGATGAAATAGATTTATTCTAAGAAACAGATAGAGTAAAAAATAAGAACTACTTTGAAATTATTGTACCTGAATATAGTGGCCAAGTTTTTTTAACATTTCCGTGTTAGCATATGGGAAGTAGCTAACAGAATTGAAGAAAAATTTGCCATTTCTAATTATTTCACCCATGATTCTGGTAAATTTTGCATTGCCTTAAGCTCTACAACAACCAGAAAAGTTACATACTTGCTAAGTAACTTGTCTCCATAAATTATAGAATGGCCGAGATAATGAGGCAGTTGTAATCGAACAATATTTTGCCCAATATGAATTTCCAGAGCAGGTTATAGGAATAATTGATGGGAAAGGAATTCATATAAGATAGAGTATATCACAATCCATATTTTTTTTGAATAACCAATAATATACTATATTATAGTGTAACTGAAAACTGACTATGGAAAGTCGATAAATTATGGTTGGACAATTTCTAAGCTGATTGCCATGTTGTCGGTTTAGACTTCTCAATGCTTCGAGAGTCATATCGCTCTCTTCTCAAAATGTCAAGAAGCTTAAAACAACATGACAACCAATTGATACCAAAATTTTAACAAAATATAGGTACTCCATTATAAAGGTCACAAAAAATAGGTAATCTAAATATTTTATAACTGTTTAAAATCGATTAGTTTTCTGGGTATATATTTTAAAATTGCTGTAAAATTTAATTCTACTTTCGTAAAATTGTTGATTTAATTCGAACGTAACATGGTTCCATGACTTATTTCAAGGTAGAGTATAGACCAAAATTAATAAGGTATTATAAAGAAATATTTTAGCAATGTTCTATATTTTTGTTACATATTTTGTAAAAATAAAATGTTTATCTACCAAAGATTTCAATGTTTTATTAATTGAATCAAAAAAACGAAATTATTTGTGCCTAATTAAAATAAAATAAATATTTATTCATAACAAACAAGTAACAAAGTAAATATATATTACAAATAAAACAACTTAAAAATAAGTAATACGTGTCAGTCTATCTTCTTAAAATTTCATTTTGTTCATGAAGCAATTGATTTCCATGTTTAAATATTTAGTAAAAGTAGTCAATTACCAATACAGATCGATCAGCATCAATTACTACACGTATCCTCTCTTTAAATTTTATATGATATCTGAATTTCAATCAGTTTTTTACTAACAGGAAAGAAACAGCAACTAATTGGAAATGATTTATTCAATTCAGTAATGATAATAGCGATGTCACCAGCAAGAATTATATGAAAGATACGAATTTAATTATTTATGCACGTAATATAAATTACAAGAATATGTAGAAATAAATAAAGTATACTTTGTTGCTATTGTCAATATTATGTGAACATATTCATAGTTGCTTTGTCGAGACCTCATCACACGTCAACAGAACTTTTCTTTTATTAGATTATACAGGACAGGATGCTCACTTTCTAGTATAATCTCATCGTAACTTAATTGCTCTTGATTCACTTGTTGTTGTTGTTGTTGTTGTTGTAACTGTTGCTCTTGTTGTAGCTGCTGCACTTGTTGCTGGTGTAGCGGATGCTCTTGCTGTTGATTCAATTATACAATATTTTTTCACTTATGAAATCTTTCTATTTAAAAATTTCTCTACCGTATTAAGAATCAAAGAAGCTGCTTCCAACTTCCGAATTATTCGACCTTTTGCCATAATATTAACCCACTATTCGGTCAAGTTGTAATATAGAACTGCTGGACATCATTAGATTGAAAATGCAGATCACAAACGTACTGTTTTATTTTAAATCTGTTGACAGTCAATCACTTCACATACTATTACCATATTTAAATTATTTTCGAAACTTTTTATTTACCATTTATAAAAACAAATTGTAATAATTATTTACTTGACTTCTAGTTTTTAGGTTTAGTATACCTTCCCGCTCCCCAAAATATATCTACTAAACTCCATATAAATAAAATAAAATTGGTTATTTGCTTACTTCACTCGTATTTATGAAGCTACCTTCATTTGGGTCATATGGAACACTAGCGCCACCTCAACTTCTGCCATTTCTTGGACAAATTTTGTCAATTTTTCCGTATGAGTTCGTGCTCCTTATCTTGTCTCCATGGCGAAAAGAGTGGCTTAGTGTGAGAGAAAGACAGACCGTATGTGCTGTCTCATTCTTCTCTTCAACGACGGGAGCCAATGAGTGCGAGCATTCATTTGCAACCAATCGCGCGTGCTAGAGTGAGACAGCATGTACTGAGATAATGTCTATCTCTCTCGCACACAGCCACACTTCGCCATGGCATGCTACCTTCAGTTGCTCCAAGCAAATCTTTATATTACTGGTGCCATCTATGATTTCTACTGAATATCCTTAATCACTTTTTTTCATTCATACGAGATGTGGACCGTAGATGGAGCTTGGGCAGAAATTTTATGAAATTAAAAGAAAATCTGCAATGTCGGCCAATTCATTATAATATACAGGGCGTCCCTTTATTCTATATGTAATAATTTTTCCTCAGTCAAAAACAGGTCAATTTGCACAAGTACATGAACAACTTACTTTTTTTGCTAAATTAATTAAATGATAATTTATTAAATGAAAAATCACAAATAGGAGAATCCAAGGCATGTAGAAATTGATAAAAAAAAATTATTTCAAAAATTGGTAAAAAAATTATTTTAAATGTTTCCAAGCAGAGGTGGATCTAGAGATGGATTTGAGGGGGTAGGGGGAGGGGTGGATTTGTACAATAATTGATGTCAAAAAAGAAGGAAAATTTATAATCTTTATTCATTTATTTTACTGAAAGAAAAAAAAGGCTATGCATTCAAGAAAACTGAGACGTTCTTAAACTTAAAAATTTAAATTTTTATTAATTTATTCTCTTTGATCTTCGATCTGCGCCTGTTTCCAAATATTTATAATTAAATTGTACTTAATAAAATATATTTCAATTTCATTTGTTTTTATTATGTTGGTCTGTAGACTGTACCCTCTATAAATTAGGACAATTTTTTTTTAATATTCTATACAGGGTGTCCTGAAATTAATGCAACAAAATTGAGTCATTTATATTTATCAAGTGCCCCACCCCTGTTTCGGAGTTACAGCCCCCCAAAATTCGCCCCTAAGTATAGTCTTTTTTTATATCTTAGAATTCTGTTCTGTGTACTAAAATCACTAAATTTGGTACACATGGTATGACATGTAGAATTTGATAATGCTAAGCTTTTTTGTGGGGAATCCTTAAAACAATTTTTTGTGGGCCCCCTTGTCTTTGGGGCCAAAAAAATTTGGTCGCATATTTAATTTTCTTAAAAATTATTAGTCCGCTAGAAAACTATTGAATTTAGAAACTTTTTTGTCTTGATATTTTTTTCATAAAACGCGATGTTTTCGAGAAAAATGACAAAATGTCATCGAATGCATATCGTGATTAGGCATTTTTCTCGAAAACATTGCTTTTTACGAAAAAAATATCAAGAGACAAAAAAGTTTCTAAATTCAATGGCTTTGCGACCAAATTTTTTTGGCCCCAAAGACAAGGGAGCCCACGAAAAAGTGTTCTAATGGGGTTTCCCGTCTAAAAGCATAGCACTATCATATTCCACGTCGTAAAACCCCTGTGTACCAAATTTAGTGATTCTCGTACAACGAAGTTCAGAGATATAAAAAAGACTATACTTAAGAGAGGATTTGAAGGGGCTGTAACTCCGAAAGAGGGGGCCACTTGGCAAAAATAAAAAATATGGGTCCACTAAATTTGCCTTACGAATCTGTGACAAAATTTTGTTGCATTAATTTCGGGACATAGTAACAGTTCAATAGCGTTCAATAAAAAGCGAATTCTGTTTTTTAGAAATTACTTATTAAATTATAGTTAGGTTAGGTGAGGTTAGGTATTATAGTAGTATATTAACTAAACTATATACATAATATACATAGCGGCATTATTAAAGTACAAAAATTTACAATTAATTGCATGAAGATTATAAATAACAAACATTGCATTTATAAACGTTTTACCATTAATTAAAAAAATATAATAGTCATTAATTTCCGTGACTTATAAATTATGAATCCTGCATAAACCACACTTAATTCCAAACATTTCAGGAAGTTAAAAACCAGATATCGATCACAATAAATATTAATAAAAATTGCATTTGTACCCGTCCACTGTAGAACATATTTATACCGAAATATGAGCTACATTTAAAAACAGGCTTTTGTGAAAGTATCGCTGGGTATCTCAACAATTTCATCGGTGATGTTTAGTTTGTCCAGTTCGATCACTAAAATAACAATTGTTCAGCGATCGAATGCAATAAAATTGCATTATACATTTGAAATGGATACTTACGGTCGTCTTCCCGTTGCAAGCTCTTTTCGATTTCTTTGTATTGCGAAAATACAGTTATATATTTTTCCGTCAGTTCATAGGCATGGAAAGTCATCTGATTTAAAACTTTGGTCGTTATAGGGTGCTTGAAAAAGTGTGACCACTCACCTAAATAATCGTAAAAAATTAATACGCTCCTAAAAACATTCATCAAACACTTACTCGATATAAGCTTTAATTTTTTGGTTTCCTCGATATATCTTTCTAACGCTTTCAACACTACCTCGATTTCTAATTTATATAACTGGGGTATGCATTCGCACCTACAACAAAATACGTGATACAATTTATTTGCGGTTAGATTGAACGAAACGTTACTCTTTTGCGTCTCGGTGATGAATCCAGTGGCAATTCGTAAACGTATTGTACATAAAACACAACAGATTTAGACAAATTTTCAATGGAAAACTTTCGTTTTTTAACACAAATACAGTATTATCGAACAGCATGACAAATATGTAAAAACGGCATGCATCTACAACAACAACAAAAAATTGTAACAAAAGGGACTTGTTTCTTGGTAAATAAACCCTACCTTCGTTAAAGTAGAGAATTCCCTTCTTACTGGTGACTGAATTCGGGGATTTATTGATCAGGAATTCCACAAAAGAAGAATGTTGTGATGCCGTTTTAAATAAAAACGTAATCTGGCATATAACTTCAACCGTCGGCCTTGACAATATAATTTCTTTCATTAATTTGAAAAAAATATCACTCCTGGAAATATAAATGATGTAGTATACAGTGTTGCCATGAAAACGCTGTATACAAATGTAAAAAATATGTTAACTTACACATTATCAAAACACTTGGACTTGTGAATGTAGATCAATAAATTTATGGCGGCGTTCAAAAACTTTGACATAAAAGTGGCTTTCCTCTAAAAAAAAAAAACCTTAAGAATTGCATAGAGTCAATAAAATATTTCGCTTACTATTTCTCCAGCGGTTTGAACAATATTTAATATTATATTTAAAAAACTATGCGAAACTGCATTCTGCCGTTTAATTACTTGGTAAGGGAATTGTTTTTTGAGCATTTCTTTCCCTTCGAAGGACAACGCCTTGTCCAAACAGATATATTTCTTTAAATATTCATTGTAAGGCACTATATGAGCCAGAAAATTTAACAAAACACTTGATTTCACTCCAATCTCGTCGTTTCCGGAACTTAAGAAAAAATGTACTTTTAATATTATCAACAAAGAACTGTCTTTTACTCACCACTCTCCTATAGAATTTATTGTGGCACCATCTTGGCTTTTTAGAAAACTCGAATCGGCTTCTAATATATCCTCAGTCCTTAAATTGCCCTTAATTTGTTCTAGAAATTGCTGTAAATCATATAAAAATTGCTCGCAAGCGCAAATAATCTAAAAAATTATTACTATTAATTAATTTTTTAAGGTAAGCACCGTTAACTTACTTTATTCAAATGATGGATGTTTTTCTTATCATCTAATTCATCTTCTGTGCATTTTATTAGATTGAGAATGTCAGGATAGACACAATCGATGTTGATATCACTTTTATCTATGACTACATTTGCTGACATCGTCTGATTTTTTAAATATGGTACGGCATTTTTACAAGTGTACATCAGTCTAGTTTCTGTAATGTGTTGTTCTCGCTTAGGAAGATTAACTATCGTTTCAGATAAGAGGTTTTTTAAGGGATAAACTATAAAAAAATATATATACTCGTCTCAAAAATACAAATGTACAAGATTACTTACTTGGCTCTAACACAGGCTGTAAAATTGTTGGTTCTACTTTAGCCTCATTTACAATAGTTTTCTCTTGCCTTATATTATTAGCAGTAGTTTGTGTCACATTTATACTGGCATCTAAATTACTATGTTTCGTAATTTCTAACATTTTCTGTTTAAGATTAGCGATTTCGAGATTCTAAAACAGATTGATTAAAAAGAAACCGCAATCAACTTCAAATATACACTAACCTTAAATTCTAATTCACTTTTTACAGATTTCACTTGCCTCTCGGACTGAGTTAATTTGTTTTTCCATTCATTTTGTAGTTTTTGTTGCTCAGACTGGAGGTTCGATTTAGTAACCTGTAGTTGTGCCCTCAAAACTGAAACTTCTCCTTCTTTTTCTTTGTACTGTTCCTGCAACGTATTTACTTTCTCTTGTAAATCTCCCCCTGACGTAATTTTCTTCGATATAAACTCATTCTTGCTTGTACTTGGTCTTACGCTGTTGTTAACCTGTGATAACTGTGTTGAGCTGAACAGTACATTTCGCTGCTTAAACGCACTATAAGTAGGTAGAAGTGTTACATTGTTCAGTTGCGTGCAAGTTATTTTTTCCTAAAAACAAGAGTTTGTGTACCAAAATTAACTACTAACGTAACCTTACTTCTTGATAAATTTGTGAGGCTAAATTTATACAGTCTTCCAAGGCGTCCCCATCTATATCGTCGCCCCATAATGCTTCGATATCTTTTTCTAATTTCAATTTCTTATTGTTTTTTTGGTCAAATTCGCTGCTTCTTTTTGTCATCTTAAAAACTAACCTAATTTTCTTTCATTGTAATACCCGCCATTAGCAATTTCAAATCATAACGATGGACCATAGAACATAGAATGTAGATGGAAAACAATCGAATATTAGAGAGTAGTGTCGATATCTCCAATTCATGACGTCATTTTTAGTAGTTAAGAATTTAGGAAAATACGAATCTAGTTGAAATCCGATGAATCACGGGCAGGTGAAATTAGACGAGGCTGTTTTTGAATACATAGCGCAAGTAATTTGGGTCAATACAAAATTTAACATTAAAATTTTAATATATTTCGAACAGTTTTTAATCAACATGAAATAAGATTAATAAACAGTATCTATCAACCGTTTTTACATACTTTGCTGATTGTTTGAGTCAAGTTAGTTTTACTTTACAGGTAAAGGTAAAAGAAAATATTTTAAAAAATTATAAAGATTTATTCATATGAACAACATTTATAACTATGATACATTTCCCATATTGTTTAACATACATATTTCATATCCATAAATTCTATACTTATAACTTCTCTCAAGCACCGCTACTCTCAAGGCTTCTTTCATTGGTCAACAATCAAAAGACATCACATACTTGATCGTTACAATAAAAAAAATGTTTAAAAGGCACTTACTATCTACATTTTTAAAATATATAATACAAAGTACACTTTTTATTAATGCCGGCATCATCACATGGCACCAACAGGATAAGAAAATGCTTAAAATACATCGTGATGTAAAATGTTAGTATTAGTTTTTATTTATTAACATGTATATTTACAAACTTAAACTGTTACTGTCTACTACTTCGTAGAAAATGAAGACATTTTTTGTTCTCGATGTATCTGAAATTAAAACGAAGAATAATTAGATTGAATTAAAGTTATCAGGAGAAAACAGGGAAATTTATTTATGAGATTGCTTACTTAAGGGGTTGTTTTTTTCTGTGCCTGTTGTGCTCTTTTCTCCCACTCCGCCTTCCTCTGATTAAAATTCTTAGATTCCGTTATAAAATTGCTACTAATAATCTCCTCCTGTCCCTTCTCCTTCAATTCAGGCTCCAAATTTTTGATTTTGCTCATCCACTGTTCAGTTAATCGCCTCTCAGAGAAACTAGGTTGTTTCTTCACCAATGACTCGGAAGGCTTAGGGGGGTTCAGACTCACCGCCCTCTGGCTAACGAAAATGTTGTTGTTGATGTTCCTTCTTAACGCAACAGGCGATTCTATTTGTGCCTCTTTCGCATTTTTGGTAGAATCTGGAATTCTTGTTTCTGTTAGGGGCTCTTTCACAGGAGACTTCGGACTGTCTACGTTTTCCTGCTTTCCTAGGGACTTCCTTCTTTGGGAGAAATCGGTTTCGATTGATAATTCTTTCGGTTTATTGTACCACTTTTTACGATCGTCGACGGGAGAGTCCACTTGGTTCTCCTTATCGCTATCTCTCAATTTATTATCGGCCAAAGTTTCTTGTATAGAATCAACATCGCTGTCTTTCAGTTTCAAAGAACGCCTGGCGAACACTTTCATCAGTTCCGGTTCTTCGTCGTTTTTCTTGTTGGCGACAGATTTTCTTCGTAAGACGACGTTTTCAGTAGTAGGACTGGTTTTTTCTTTTGGCTTTTCTTCAAGTTTATCCAGACTGTCTTGTGAGGATCGGTCGGACTCGTTCTTTAGAGAATCCAGACTGGCCGATTTATTTTTAAAGAGTGGTGGCTTTTCTTTAACTGGGGATTCGGGTGTGATAGAAACGACGGAAGATTTTCTACTATTGCTCTTAACCTCGTTCTTTTTGAATCTATTACTCTGTGGAGCTGAAGAGGTTACGGTCACGGCTGACGGACTTTTCGGTGACTCTCCTGAGATTTCCTCGGTACTGTCTTTCTCGATTATCTCCAAGTCCTCTTTGCTGAACTTCCTCGACGTCGGGGGTTTAGTGATCACTTCCGGCTGCGCCTCGAAGTTGAATAAAGTCTTTGGTCTGTTCTGTTCCTCGGTAATTCTCGGCGACTTCATGGAAAATATTATGTTACTGCTAGGCCTGGCCTCGACTTTGTTCAGTTGTTTGTTTAAGAATTCCGGTACGGAAGACTTGGGCAATGTTATCGTGCTCTGGGTAACTTGCGTCGTTTCTCGCTTCAACTGAATTTTGGTGACGGAGACCTGATTTTCTTTCACGGAGATCGTCTTGGACCCATCCTTTTCTACGACGGAACTCTCGCTGGAGTTTGAAATCATTTTCGAAGCGTTACTAACGAAATCTTCGGAATGACTAGTTACGTTGACGACAGCCGTGTGGCTCGGCCCGGAAATCGTTATGGAGTCTCTGAAAACATCCAGATCACTCGAGGTATCACTTTTGTTCTCGGAGATGTCTTTGTCAGTCTTAACGTCGGACTTGTCGTTTGAACACTTTACTTCCGGCGCAGCGGGTGGTTTCAACGCAAGTTTAAACTCCGTGTAGTGGCTCTGCTCCTCCAAATTTTTTATGCTATCCAAAGAGGCGGCCTTGGTGAAGGATACTCTGTTGTCCTCCTTCGTTTCCCTAGTTTTAAATTCGCCAGTCGGGGATCTGACGTAAGAATCTTTTTCTTCTGTTTGTTTGGTGGATTTAAAGCTATGCGATTTGGTAATTGGTTTTGACGGTTTGACACGATCGCTCGTAAAATCCGTCAACGACAGGAAACCGTTGTTGGTCTCGTCGTCATTCAAGGACAGTACGCGTTGCTGCAACGAAGACAATCCGGGTATTTTCATCTTGTTTCTTATTTCTTCGCTTCTCGTTCGCGATTCCTGGTGCTTGGAAACGGTAGTGGAAGATGTCTTGGTGTAATGGCTGAATTCGGACGTGGAAGATATCACAGATGGCAAGGCGGTGGGGCTGGGTTGTGATCTTGGGGACTGCGGCGGCGTTTCTGACGGTTTCGGACTAGTGGATAGCGAGATCTGAAACAACGTAAACAAGTAGATTGAAAATGTTACTTTTTATTGATTCTTACCTGTCTCTGTTTGAAACGATTTTCTAGTTCCTGTTGCAGCGGCGAAGTGCTGTCTATAGACTTCTCAGGAGACGGTTTCGGCAGGATAACATCAAATTCCCTTCTAGCATCGTCTGGAGAAGCCGGTATATCGATCGGTATCACCCTCTGACGAGAGGCGGCGCCGGACCTAGGCGCAGGTATGGGCTTCGAAGCTTCCTTACCCACGACACTCGTCACTTTGTAGTTTTCCGTGTGACAAATCGAACTGCTCACGTTCACGAGCCTCTCTTCCCTGCTGTACTCCCCGTTTTTATTCACTTCTTCGTGCTTGTGAACGGTTTCCTCCCTGGTGACTTTCACGTCGTGTTTGGAGGCGCCGTCCTTCTCGTCCTTCGATTTTTTCTTCCTGCCGCTCTTCCTGGGGAATATCCTTTCGAAGAGGGAGGGCTTCTCCTCCTTTTCGGCGTCCTCGTGCAAGGGGGAGAAGTGGTCCTGCGACTTGCTACCGGCGTTGGATTTGCTCCTGTTCAGTTTGATTTCAGCACCTGGTGCTGTTAGGCCGGGCGGTAAAGAGGAACATTTTAGTTGGGTGTCTGTAAGGGTTCTAGTGGTAGTCATGCTGTAAAGCTCGGTTATCGTCTCTGCAAAGCAAAACGTGGCCTTAGTGCAAGCAGGCAAGGGGGAGGGTCCCAGAAATAAGGGCGAGAAAATATTTTGATGCGAGATTGTTTCTAGGTAAGTCGTGTTGAAAATAAAGCCGCGATTATCGGTACCTAACGATATCACTTATTTTTGGGACGCTTTGTATAAACAGCAAGATATATGCAATAGCAAAGTATGGACAAACGGTGTTGAAGTGTTTTTTTTTTAATAACACTTGTGTCATTCATATAAATAGCATTTAATATTTTCTCACACGTACAAAATAGGTGACGGGTTTTTCTTTTAGTTGTTGAAGCTTTTACAACATAACAAACATTCGTGTTAAAAAAAGACTCATTGTTAAGGACGCATCTTAGAAACGAAATTAAAAAAGCGAGAGAGCAAGATAAGCGAACAAAAGTTACCTTTTCTGTTACTTTCAGGCGAAATACTTCTGATGGAAGACTCTTCATTAACTTCCGGAGTTACCGGCAGTGCAGAGGAAAGCTGAAATAAAAATAAAATCGAATATTTCTTCCAACTTCACACGGATCGACCGTGGTTCTTTACCTGTTGCCCTCTTTTTCTGCGAGGAGCCCCATAGGTCCTCTTCGGCCTCACCGAAACCCTGTGGTGCGCCGCGCTGTGGTTTAATGGTTCTATGATGGAACTCGGTCCAAATTCAAGGTCTGAATCTTGAAAGAGAACGTTTTTGTCAAGTCACAAGGGAAACATCACGAATATACTACACTTAATTATCTATCATCAATTACCTGGATTAGGCTTTTTTTCATGCAACGATAACTTAGAGGAATGTCTTGAATGCGGCCCAAAAGAATCCTAAAATAAACAGAAAATGTTTTTTTAGCAAATTTTTAAGTCTCCTTCTAGACTTCCACGAGTGGTCAAAACAAAATAAATATAAACAAAAGTTCTTTTTACATTAATACGAGAGTGAAATCTTGTAGTTGGCGTGTGTAGTGCATTGGTAATCATGATTTCAACACCTGTTAAGTGTGCTCAGGGATTGCAGTCAACGTTACTTAGAACAAGCCATTGTTTGTGTACATAAATCGAAACAAAATTAAATTTTGAATACATTCATAACTAAATTACTTACCTCATCCATTTCATAACTCCCCATACTAAGTAGGGAGCCATCACTACATGTACTATGTGATTTTGTCGGGAGATCCTGAAAACAAATGATATAACTGATTATATTCAGTTAAGAAAACTAGTAGAAACACTCCATTTAACTGATCCATACTTGGGGATCATTAAAGAGTAATTAGATCAGTTAAATCGAACGCCTCTACTAGTTTTAACCTCAATACTTGAGGGGAATTTTGATGTAACGCGTCTGTGTACGTAATGACGTACGGTTCGTACCTGTAGAGTGTCATACGGCAAGAAGATCTTAATTTTGCTAACCCAACGCGCGCTATTCAACACACAATCTTTACGGTAACAAAACATTTGAGGAAATCCTCATGGAGTCACTATTTCGATATTTTCAGCGTAAAAATTAATAACGACCCGCGCCGCGACGGGTTGGAAACTGAATAACAAAACGTTATACTTTCTATGGACACGGCAGGTAATGTGTGTAATTCTGAATGTTTGAAATCCAGCTCTACCGTTGCATTCATCGCCAAGGCAGCAGTTATTATGTAAGGCAGGCACTTTCGAAGTCACCGGAACATGTTTTCATTTCCTAATGGCTTACGACGACGGCTCCCACTGCCTCTATTCATATTTAACAATGTTATTAATAAAGTGTTTCCGATCTGCGTATTAATTTTCTCCTCTGGTATACTCAGGGAACGTCGCACGGATACTGCGTTTTTCATTGTCGAAATGTCAATTTTAATCCTCATTCCGGGATGGGGTAAATGATTAATATTTCAGAACAAGCAGCATTACATTTGGGGACGAATAGATATGTACAAACAAGTTTGTGAGTAAATAGCCTGAGCGATGTTTCCGGACAGTTTGCAATGAAGAAAAAAATTGTTATCGCATCCGGTTAATTCAAATAAATCACAACATTGTAGGAAGTTTGGCTACTGGCGGCGTAGTGTTCTTACACTGGCCTTCATTACACCAAATGAGTAGTACAAGAAGATAAAAAATAGTTCATTACAAAAAATGGATCCGGTCATGGGTATTATGACGCGATGAAGAATAAAATATTTGCAATAATACAATCAAAGTGCGTCATAATGCAAAGAAAAGTAAATAATCAGTTTTTACTATCGCGGTTGGTCGACACAATTTTTTAAAATTAATTTGTGACGAAACCAATAAATTAATAAATACCCAACAAAAGCTATGTAGGCAGCAAATTACCATAAATTTCACATTCACCGTGCGAAAGTTTGTTAAATAATTTTGTGGTTATTGTATTATTAATTCTAGAGTTTCGCAACGCGACGTCCACAGTTGAGTAGTAAAGATGGTCGCGATCGCCGGTTATGTTTCGTTTTTCCCAGAACCACAGTTTCCTTGATAAGCAGTTGATGGTTTCAGATGTGATGCAAGCCGACCGACAATTTGAGGATAGTCAGTTCAACAAAAGGGACAATTACACTTACGTTGTTTTAAGGAAAAATAATTATTAAGAAACGAGTATTCCTACTTTTATATTACCCTACAGTTGTGACGTCAGACAAACAGTACTATGGCCTACCACCAAATCTTCGCCTAGTTCAATACCGCCTATGTCCTAGATCTTTCCCATCAGTTTATAATATTAGTAACTGTATTCGTCAATGTATTATTTAGCGAAATAGGTAATGCTAATAAATATTGACCAACTCTCTTTGTAACAGTGAAGGAGAAATTAATCACTATTCACTATTATTCCGTGTCGTAACAGTTATCCAGGAAAACGGAGGACGAATTTTTTGTGAATTTGCATAATTTTAATAATCTGTATTCGCATTAAACTGTGGAATCGAAAACAACAGAATTCGCATCTCCAATCGACTGTTACTTTCACGTAATTGCAACACGGCGATGCGTATTTGTTGCTCTATTGTAAACCGTTAAAAAACCCGATTTTGTAATTATTATAATGCTGACACTAATAATAATCGACAGCGCATTGTATTCGCAGATTTAATGTAATTTATTATTATAATTATAATTACTTAGCACGCAATCACCATCAACGAGTTGTTTGCAAATAGATGAATAACAATGTTAACGCGTTACAATATTCATGTCGAAACAATCAGAATCATTAATATACAGGTGCAAGGTAAATCAGAGATGATAACTTACGTTGCTATAGGTTTTTCTGAAAAAAATAGTAATACACCACCCCTTCCCCTACACAAGCACTGATCGCTGCATCATACTGGGTTAAGTAACGATTAAGTTTCTTTAATTGAAAACTACTTTACTGGCAGAAAACAAAGTGTTGCATATAATAACCACTATTCTAATCAAGGTGTTAATAGCAGAGTGCCACAAGGGTCGGTTTTAGGTCCCTTATCTTCCACGTTTTATACCTCTTCGTTTGAAAAACTTGGATCTAGCTGCCAATCACACTTTTTTGCTGATGACAAAACTATATTATTCTTTCAAAGAAAATGCGATACAACAAGCCAACCAGAGAATAACAATGATTTTTTTTTCTGTAGGTTTGATCTCGAGCGCGAGCACGCGCAGTGTGAACGCGCCTTTAGTTCGGGGACATTCAGTATCGGACAGGTCAAAAAAAAATAGTTAATTAGTGCTGTTACTTGCGGTCGAACTAATTAAATCTATCTGATCCCCCAAGGATCGATACAATTAAATTAAATGAACGTTAGAACCCCCACCCTCCCTCCTCCTCCCAATCCGCTAAGTTGCTGGAATTGATATCCCCGTTGAATCCTTAGATAAGTCCTCGGAGTAGCGCATAAATCGATCTCCCTGGAAATGCCATTGAAATCGAAACACTTGAAATGTGACCTTTCCGGCCCGGCTACTGCTATTAAGTTACTGGGGTGTCCGGTTCGCCCGACCTTTGAGTTATTAATGTTTAACGCTATTTATACGCGTATATATCGCTATCACTCGTAACGCATTCCATAAATTAGGGAAATTTTGTGACAAGGACGAAATGGAATAAAAATAAACTAAGAAGCAGTTTCCATTTAAGTGATATGTGTACCCCGGTTCACCTAATATCACTTAAATTGAAAGGCTCCGCCAGCATTAACCTCAAAAACTTTTGAAGTGAAGTCTTTCAAAGTCAAATTAAATTACAACTTCACTGGTAATTACAGTATTACATTTGATAAGAAAACCATGCTATAAATAATGTACACTAAACATATTTTGGATCGGAACTTACTTTAATAGCAGTCTTATCAAGCAGAAGTCCATCTGAGGTAGTTGGTGAGTTGCAGGGGCTGTGTGGTAGGCCTTCGTCGTCCTCACTGGTGTCGCCGCGGCCCCGCCTCAGTCTCAGCCTCTCACTTAGCTCGGTCTGCAACAGGAATAGATCATGGCACCGAACTTGCAAAAATGTGTAGTAATATAATATCTTCCAAGTACGCGAGATCGTTTTCTAAACCGAAGGCGATCTTTGAAAAGCGCTAAAGCGAAAGTAGAATGGGATTCGTGAGTGAATTAACTTTACATGGAAGAAAAACCGCATAGGCGTCGCGAAGAGGCAAAAAGGTTGACAACGAAAATTTATTACAAAAAAAACTAACACATTCAATTTTTTTTAATATTTTCAGCTTGCGTTTAGAAATAAGAAGACTAACTAGTGAAAGTTATCAGTAGCGTTAACTGCATTTCTATTTGCATAAAAACTGCAGTAAAGAATATGAATAGATTGATTTTAGAGTTACAGTGATTAAATAGGCAATTAACGATGAATTTTTTAATACACATTTTCCTGATTATGAACCACCTGTAAACTGTATAAAACTCATGCTTTTGAAAGTATTAACCAAAAAAATAATATGTTTTTATAACTTTTAATGGTACTTATTTAGTACAGCATAAAATTTCACGAAATTTTGCTTCCTCCTCTATTTTCGATAGTGTTGAACGCAAATCTGGGTCTATTGTGCGGACCAATCTAGTTTCAAAATTCTAAACTGTACATAATGTTGGTTAAGTTATTTAACATACTAATGGAGAAACTTTATGTACAAATATATCTGTCTTCATAAAGTTAGATTATTCTATCATATATCACGTTAAATAATAAAAACAGGACTCTGGCCAAGTGAACAGCTGAATGAATACCTACATATAACTATTTTTATATATTTTTAACAAATACATAATTTTTAATCGATCTGTCGCCCGTGGAAGTAAATTTGCGGTACTTAGTAACCTTATTTGAGAGAATGAGAGACAAGCGAGAGGGAAATTGGAGAGTATGACGACTCAATCACGTCACTAAGTGGAAATAGTCGATTTAATACAAAGGAATAATATAAATATTAGGTATATCAAAAAATTAAATTCATATTGTCCATTTTCACATACAGACGTAGGTATCTTACAAAAATTGCAAAATTCGTTTACGTGATTACAAAATTTGATGTATTTTTGGGAGTTTTACACTACAGTAAACAGTTACTATTTAGAAGTCATAATGTGAATTTTTTACATATGATTGCCCCTTGGGAAAAATAATTCCGGCGCCCATGTGATTACTTAACGAGTCGTTCCAATATGTAATGTGACAAATGACATATTCAGTCCGCGACTTGATTTACTAATTGCATAATTTTTGCTTCCGCTAAGCGTACTGTTAAGACAAGTCGTAACTTATAAAACGTTCTAATTGGCTTATAATTAGTTTAACCTTAAGAGATCTGCAATTAAGACTAAAATTACAATACCGCGCGGTATACATTATTCATAGAAAACGTAAACGTACTGTCAAACGCGAAACTATCAATCTCCCACACGAACCGAGCTAAAAATGGTGACAGCTTTCTAGATAATGTTGCAGCAAGTAATTATGAATATGAAAATAACTACGAACATCAATGGATTTTTCCTAGGCACTCTTTCTCTTTTTGATTCTGTGGAGGTAATTTCAATTTAAATGCCACCCAGGGCGAGCGATATCCTTAGTACGGTTCTGACTAGGCATTCCTAATAGGATTAGCGTTAAGTATTTTAATTTAATCAATCCGCTTAAAAAAATCCAGTTTCCTAGAAATACCTCTTGAGTCAATCGCTATTCAAACAACTTAGGATATGGCCACAGCTACAAAAGTGGTCCATAGTTAAGGAAGTGGCGCTAGTAATATAGCCAACGACGTAATCAAACTTTCTTTGTGGCTGGCAATAAACGGGTAATAGGTACCGTCATAAAACGACTACAAATTTTTATGTCTTCGTTTGTAATATGATCTAGCTGGTATGTTGGGGTCAGGGGTTTAAGGGGTACCCAGAAAATTATTTTGGAAAATAAAACAATTCATTCAAGTTGGATTTGAGGCTTATCTTATCGCGGTGTGAATACCGAGATTATTGTTTAGTTAAAAATAAAGATACAAAAGTAAAACAATATTATTTAAATGTGACTCATAATTTTATGAATCAAGTGTATTGCATCAGATCTGCCGACTCTATCGGTTAGAACGTATCTTACCAAATATGGTCGTACACGGTAATTTATATCTAGGTATTTTAACGAATATTTAGTCTCGTAAAATAATTATTCTACGACTAATCAAACAAAACGTGTATATTTAATTTAAAATCAAAATTTCGTAAGAATTATTTTACAGGAACGCTAAAACAAATCAGCGGTAATGGCAATGAAAGTTAATGCATTCGACTGGAATCACATTTGAATTATCAAATTTATTTCTTTTTTAATTCGATGTTAAATTATTTAAAAGCATTTGCCTTGATTTATTTTTTTCTTGCAATAACGAAATACATTTTTTTCAATGGAACTATTGGAATACATATATCTTATCATAATAATGAAACAGTAATGTACTATCTTTAACAGTACTGGAATATTCTTTAAATACCACACATTCCAAAGCAAAGCATTGCAAAAATCTGTCCCACTGTTCACAAAGTGTGTTACACACAACAAATCAAATGACGAGTATGATATTTAACTTAACTTAATCCATATTTATTTGCATATAATGACACTAGAAATTATTTATAACACAGTTCAAAGAAAATGGAGTAATTTATCACAATAACCGGCATTATGCATAAAATGTGGTTAGTTTGATAAATTTATAAACATATATCACTTTGTTCAACTGTAAATAATCATATTATCCATTAGGTACGCATAACATACGATAATGTTCCGCCGCAATTTTTTCATTTTCACTAATCTTTCCAACAGGATCCATCTTTAGAACTATACACTGTTTTAAGAGGCTTAATTCCTTTAAGATAAAGTGTATTTAATCATTTATTATCTAAGTTAACAAATTTTTGATTCGCTATGCCCACAAAAAAATTAAAAATCGTACAATTTCCTACACTTTTGAATTCTATACGTATCATATTGTAATTGTTATTAGTAGTAGATACTGTTTGCACTTTATTTATGTTTTTAAAATCGTACAATGTTCATATTTTTAAATTCAGCGCGTTATTCTGATTATGATGTCACATGACATGGTTTTCGTCAAAATATCCAACAGTTATGCCCATATATTCAATTAAATATATGGCTATATCCATAGATTCGACAGTATACTATGGATGGAATGTAGAGAGAGAGGGTAGGGCTCAAGATGTAAAACGAGATGAAACCATCAGCCTCACGTCACGTGACTTGGGGAATTTGCTAGCTTAGCACGCGCGATTTCTCATATCCATTATGTGATAATAATTTTTTTAATTGCTGTGTTACTAACAAAAAAGAGTCAATTTCATAATAAGAAATAATTTCTTTTAGAATCAGTCGTGCGATTTGTATCCTAGGTCACCTGACTTAGGGCAAATATCTGCCGCTTTTGCTGTTCATATTGGAACAGCTACAAGGCACAGAAAGTGGGCGCCATCCATAGTATACTGTCAAATTTATGGCTATTGCAAACGTGATTTTGACAGTTCTGCGAAATTTTTATTGATACTGTCAAAATTTAGATAACTAATAATGCAATTTTCACTTGATGAGGAGCGAGATATGCCCCAAACATATCGATTAATTAATTTGAAGAATATCTGGCTTTATATCATGTGAAAATTGCATTTTTAATCATCTAAACTTGACATTATCAACGAAAATTTGACTGAACTGTCAAAATTTCGTTTAATGTAGTAGCTGGATGTTTTGTTTTCAAAGCATTCTTTGCAAAAATCGACAATTTAATATTTTGATGAAAGTAAAACACATCGTAATCAGAAAGATGGCACTGAATTCAAATATGTGAATATCCAATCTGGCGCACTAAGAAAAACAAAGGTTTGTGGGCGCCAAAAAGTACACCTCTTTCCGTTTCCGAATAAAAAAATTATAAAAACAAAAATCAATAGTTCGTAAACTTCAAACCCATTAAATTTGGTTCTTTCTTGTTTACGCTATTTTATTATAACATAATTCAAACCTCAATTCCTCAAAAACTGTTGGCTGTGCATAAATTTTCTGAAGCAACTGAACACTACACGGAAATTGTGTCCATGTGACAAAATTTGCACTGGCGTAGAAAATAATTTTAAAAAAGGGTCACGTTATCTCCGTCCCTACGCCGCTATTGTCCGTTGAATATGTGGTATATAAAATAATTAGTCTTTAGGTAGTAACGATACGTGGCAGATTTGAAATAGAACCCCATGTTTATTAGGACTTTTCGCTCTAATCGTTTATGTACTTTCCGTCGTAAAAGCCTGTCAGCGTGTTTTTAAACATCCTGTATTATAATATTCATATTGGCAAGGAAAATGTATAACTTTTTCTATTTCTCTCCTCCCAATTTTTCAGGAAATCTCAGACATTTGTTGCAGACCCTTCCGATCAGTCCCACTATGAAAAAGCACAAAAGAGGATCGTCCTCAATGAAACACAACCGCTGGAACAGGCGCGCTCGAACTCACCCAAATCCTGCGGAGAATATTCATGGTAGGAACCCGTTCACCTGTCCTGCCCCAACATCGACCTTTTAAACTAGTCCGCACTTTCATATCACTCGCAAGGCACTACATTTTATTGTTAGAAGAACGCCACGATCGACACCGGTTATCGCGGAACCACAGGAAGTTTCCAGTTCTGGGATCTCATAGGAAACGCTCGGTTTTCCTCCGACAGATATCACCGATTACATCAAGAAGCGAGACTAACTAGAAAATCGCGTCCGGCATCGTTCGCGATGGTCACCCACCGCGGTCGGCCTACGACTGACATTTTCCAGTTATGTAAACGCATGCGATGCCGCTCACACACACACGGTTCCAGTTTGAATATCGCGGCCCGCTCGCAGACAGATGAGATTGTTTAACGACCGGCGACAGATTGGGCTGATACGTTCGCGG